CGTTGCGTTAAAACACGATGTACATACTCATCAAAATCATTCAGATTTTGATGAGAGTTACTGTTAAAACATAGACTGGTTACCCGCTTCCAAGTGTTCACGTGTCTTTGGTGTAGCACATGAGAGAAAACATATATTGCTTGTTTAGTTTCTACCTTTGTCAAAACGTCAATCAACACACCTTCTGAAAGCTGATTGAGATAATTTGCGGCTTCCAACTCATTGTGGATGTCGAAAGACCTCCACCAATCCGTATTATTCATGTTAATATTCCTCCAGGGAGGTAGTGGGTCCATAGTGTCCTGAAACACCAAAAGAAAACATACCAGTTAAGTAAATAATATAAACATAACCCACTCTCACATTCTCTTTCTTGTTCAATGCATGTTTCTGTATATATTTGATGAGGTGTGAAAACTGATTTTTGTAGCTTCATATGTTTCACCAGATCAAACGCAGGAGTTAATTATAACTTCATTTGTTTTTCTTCGAGAAGACGAAACCCGCTCCTCGTGAATTAAAAGCGTCAAAGTAGAATAATAAAGAAAAGAAAAAAAAAAGGAAGAAAATGTTGTTCGCTTTTGTTTCCATTTCGCCTGCTATGGCCATGTGAAGTTCTGACACATTCTATTCCTTTTCTCTTGTTCCCTTCTTACCTCACATTTTACAGGTTGTTTTTAACTAACTGACTCGACCAGTTTATCCATGAATGATTATTGACTGTTAACACGAAAAATAAATCAAAACGCGCTCCCAAATCATCTCAAATTTATGATGCATCATTCTTTTATAGATTCAAATCAGCTTCTATACATAATCACTACTACCCCACATACTTTACTGTCACCAAGAAAAATATAACAACCTACTCAAGAAAATTTAATACACTGAAATGTTCGAGTCATCTTAAAGAAACCACCATTCTTTATGTAGAACAATCTAAAAGATAAGAATCTTTATATTCAAACCTGTGAGCAGCAGCGTCTTCCTGTTTGGAATGGTTGAGCAGCAGCGTCTTCTTGTTTAGGTACGAGACGTTGTTATGATTCAAATAAATGGTACATTCGCTCCTTATATATTATTATTATTAGGGCTAAGTGATAAAAAAACTATTTTCAGCCTATATTGAAAAGATGATATATTTTATTATTATTATTTAATTAATTACTCTTAAATTTTTAAATTGAATTAAAAGATAGTTTATTATTATTATTATTATTATTATTATTATTGTTATTGTTATTATTGTTATTATTATTATTATTATTATTATTATTATTATTATTATTATTATTATTGTTATTATTATTATTATTATTATTATTATTATTATTATTATTAGCATGGGAGAGGGGCCAAACTCATATTAGAAAATGAAGTAGAGTTGGTGAGTGAAGTATCCCTATGTTTTGAATTCTCCACTACCAATAATCACGTTGAGTATGAAACTTTCATCGCATGTCTCGTCTTACCAATCAAGATAGGGGCAAAAAATATTAAGTTACAAACACTTTCCGATAAATGCATCACAATTAACATCAGTATAATATTGTATATATTTGCAAGCAAAAATCATTGAAAAATAATTATTTTTGCTCAAAGTTATTACTAGTCAACTACCCAACTACTCAAACCTGCATGCACCCAGATCTACATCCACTTTTACACTGTAATATTGGACTTGATACCTTAAACGAGAAGGACGGAGATTTAACTTGTCACTCTCACACTTATAACTGACACCCCTCAATGATAGTGCTATTATTCTTTTGCTCCTAAATTTTACATTACCAGAAATTTCAAGAAAATGTCAGATTTTTTTGAAATTTTCAATAGTAAGAAATTTCATTGTATTTCGAAATTTCTAGTAGTATAAAAATAATATAATTTTTTTTTAATTATACTGAAAATTTAAAAATGAATAACCGAAGATTTCGCAAATCTACTCAAAATTTCATTTTTTTTTTTCACCCCAAATTTATTCATGGGCATTTTGAGAATTAAGAAAAATGTGGGGTGCTAGATTTAGTTTGAGGGGTAGCAGCCTCGAGAAGGACATGTCTAATACAACATCCATATATTGTTATGAATTTTCAACTTGTCCAAATAGGTCTGACTCTACTAGCAAACTTAACATTTTGTAACTCATTGTTCTCATTCAATGGCATCTAACATTTTTAGCCATATTTAAATTAAGCGTCCATTTTTAATTTAGGCTCTTTGCAGTTTAATACTTCACAATTGTTGTAAGTGGGAATTTTCTTTGAGATATGCCTTTGTCCAACCTTCTTTAGGCCACTTGTGAAGGTATTCTCATGCTTTCTTGCTCAATATCTTCACTCTCTATTTTGTGATTGAACCGTGGCACATTGGTGGATTAGCATAGTCCCACACCAACCCCATAAGCTCCATAGTCCCACATTCTCCCAGTGTTGTCAAATATCCGCCATAACACTTTCTCCCACTGTTATCAAATATCAACCATGGCAGCGCTGGCAGATATCCATGGCGGATTTTGAGCTTGCAGCAATGATAAATATTGGCCGATATTGCAGATTTTTCTGCCATAATCCGCTATAACAGCGCTGCAAAGCGCCTGGTATGGCAGGATTTTTGGCTCACCATTATAGACTGCCATCCACCATTAACACTGCTTTCTCCATCCTCTAACATCAATTTGGATTTATGTATCTAAACCAAACCACTACACTTGTGTGATCTAAATAGACACTTTCGAAAACATATAAAGTTGTGAAACAGTGTAACAAGCAGGTTAAATATCATATATTCACACCATGACTATTATTTGCTACCTCAATTTGTAAAATATACGCATGAGGGGTTAGCGCAGTGACAAGAGCATAGCCTTGTAACTTATTGGTAACGTATCAGTCTAGCATACTATTATATTTCTGTCTGCCATCCACTAACAACAATCAAACAATTCATTCAAGAGGACATAACTTAACCCAACACAGGTTATAAGGGTGAACTTCATGCGGCCTGCTCTTCATTGTCTCCATTTTTAGCAGCTGCCGAGCCGTGCTCTTCATTATCTCCATTTTTACCATTTTCAGCAGCTGCCGCGGCATGCTCTTCATTATCTCCATTTTCACCATTTCCAGCAGTTGCCGCAGCAGCAGCTGCAGCGTGCTCTTCATTATCTCCATTTTCACCATTTTCAGCAGCTGCTGCAGGAGCAGCAGTGGTGTGCTCTTCATTATCTCCATTTTCACCATTTCCAGCAGCTGCTGCAGCAGCAGCCATCAACTCGTCAAAGTTTGCAGTCTTCTCGAGTACTATTTCAATCTAAAAACACAACAAATGAGGCTTAATAAGAAACTCATAAAGCAGGATCGTTGAAGATTGAAGAGAAAAATTTATGATCACCCTTACCCTGGCCTTTTGCACAGCTCTACCTCTGGGATTACCTAGGACAACTGTTGATGTTCTGATTTCTGCATAAAGAGATTCAGCAAACAAATTTAATTGTTCCATTATTCGAGTACCGGAAAGAGAAAGGTGAGATGGAGACAGTTTGCGAAAAAAAGACATAGTATCTCACTTTTTTCCACAGCAAGTCCGTTGTGTTTCAGAATTTCTGCAACAGAAACCACTGAGGCAATAGCTGTAACAATAATAATGTAAAAAATGAAATCAGAAAAAAGAAAGGATGACCGAGAAAAGATTCAATATATAAATCAGGACGATACTGAAGCCCGATTTAATTAGTTTCCAACTTATGAAACCTTCTGAAGTGAAATGTGTAATCAGTTAACACCCTCGCAAATGGCAAGTTGTGAAGGGATGATAACCCCACAAATGGCGGCTCCGTAGGCCAGAATGGCGTCTTTATATGGCAAAAATTAGGCTTGCCGCCATTGACAACACTGTATTCAAATTTGACGAACGAAATCAAACAACAAATCTATTTACTTTCAAGTCCTATTTAAATTCCTTTATCCTCAAATATCAATTTCTCTTTACATATGATTCCGTTGACACTAGCATAATACACATTTAATTTTGAGAAACGTGCTAGACCGCAACTAACTGAAGTACATCTAGTTTTCTCTGCCCATGCTCAGGGTAGAAAGGGTCACAGAAGTAGCCAAACTAACCTAAACAACTCTCTAAAGACCTGAGAACCAATGCAGTCAAATAGAGGCTATAGCATAGCAGAATTCGAAGTTCCACGATCAACTATTGTAGCATAGCGGAATGCTATTTACTGCAATTGACAACATTTAGGAATAGCTTATCAATAAACAGCAATTCAACCTGAGGAAGCCTTAAGAGTTAAAACATACAGAGGTTGCCTACAAGATTAGGTAGTTTGTGTAACATTGTGCTTCTGAGAGAAACATCTACAAATCAATGTAGTTTCTGTGTACGCATTCTTAATCTCGCATAGTTAAAGTGATAAAAGCAATAAATACCTCAAAACCCAAACCAATTAAAAAGAATCGAAGTCCAAATCAAAAAATGGCAAAACATTAATGAATGAGATCCAGTTTCAAGATTTGATACCCGATCCTAGTGCTGAAAGCTCAACCTCATTATACTGCTTCATATAACTCTGCAAAACAAAACAAAACAAAAAAAACAACAATTCAATAAAACCTAACGTGTCTGAATCAACTAAAAACAAAAATAAATAAATCGTTTATCGGATTACCTTGGCCAGATTAACGAAGAAGAAGATGGGTTTTTTGGAGTTGGAGACGTGAATACGATTCTTCTTAGTAGAATCAGAGATATTGATGTTGTTCACTCCTTCTGTGATTACTTCCATTGATGTGTTTGTGTGTGTGGCTGTGAGACAAGACAACGAAGAGAACTGAAAACCTAATCGATGAAATGATCCCCAAATCAATGTTCTTTTCTGTAATTTTCTAATGTGTTGTAGGAAAAATGTCATAACAATGGGCCTTGCTCACGGCTCTTCCTTGGGCCGTATTCTGGCCCATTAGTTAGGGGAATACTGTCAAAACAAAAAATCAGTTTTCCTTTCCTTTTAATAGAGATGGGAGAACGCTTTCAACATAGTCGAATTGGCCTTTCCTTTTGCTACAGTCCACTTGAACTGGTTCTTTTGTTGCAATATCCGGTGGTAACGTTTTGACGACTTTGACAAAGCCGTTCATTTGTTGAATGAAGTAGTCTAGATCGTATACATCCGCGAAACCACTGTAATAGAACAAAGAGTGCAGAAGTCATTTCAAGAAGATAACGATTAATGTATCATTGTAACTTAGAACAACATGGATCAAATGCAGTGTTATCGATTGAGGATAGCAGGGCGAAAAGCCAAAGCTCCGCCATGGCGCTGTCATTGCCGATAATACTGCAAATAATAACAATTCCACAGAAATAGAAAGAAAAGTTACCTTGTTTCATTCCAATATGAAGCCACTTCAAACTTTGGCAGGACAAGCGTTGCTTTTAACAGCCGAGCAATTCCCACACCGTCACAGAACTGCAATCACAACACTCAAATTCAAGAAACAAGCAAAAGAATACTGAACATAATCTCCGGGTCTAGAGTTGAAATTCAAGAGTTTTTTCCAAAGCTCTCACATCTCTTCGCATCTGGTTGAGGCCTCCGTAGCAATCCACTCTGATATATCCATTGGTTTCCAATGGTAGAGCTGCACCATTTCAAGAATAAAAAAAAACGAAAGCAATGTCTGCAATGAAAGCCAATTAAGGTTGATTCAGAAAATAAAAAAATCCAATTATCAACTCTCATCGCACGTCTCAATCAACCAACAAATTTGACCCAATCCATTTAAAAACGTATTTGCAAGATTAACTTCCTTGGTTGACTTTTGATACTTTGTATTGAAGGTGTGCCCGGCAATATAGTCAAGCACGAGATCTTAAGTATGATCGGTTGGTTTGTGAAAGATTGTAAAACACTAAAACTTGGATTGTTAGCACGGCACATAAGATCCTACGGAAGGAAAAATGGTAATTTCATACATATATACACTCACAAACACGAAAAATTATAATACAAGCGCACAAAAAAACCCTTTACTATTTTTTTTCAAAAAGCTGGATTTTGACCACGCCAGCGACGAAACCAATCTTTCTCCAATCGTAGCACTCTCAGACATCTTTAGCACATAAGATCTTACGATCCAACACTCGATCTTGACTACACTGATTTCCAGTGTCAGACACATATTAGTGTTTAACACCGACACATATGGTCACATTCAAACACATCTATTTTCTCAAATTATTATTGGGTGTCAATGTATCACTATCTTAACCATTGTTTGTGTTTGTGTCAGTGCTTTCATAGATCAATGTAAAGCTAAAGCATGTACCCAAAATTTCAATCATTTAAACACAAGTAGAATCATTCCAAGTAATTTTACAGCTTAATCACTACTACAAACAGTTATAATATCCTAAATAAAAAAATCAAGCTAGTGACAACAAAAGTTCATAAAAAAAATAAACAAATTTTTAATCTCCAAAGCTTAAAGTTAATAATAGAACGAAATACTATAAAGCACGGACACGAGAACCACCTTATTTCAGAGATAACAGTGCTACATAGAGAACAAATATGATTTGATTAAGCAAAAAGTACCTGTTTGATGTCCTTGTAGCCACCATTTGCAAGGTCTCCATTCCATGAGTCTCCGAACACTCCATATATCTACTTCCCCTCTGCAACCTCACCAATTCAAAGATCAGTAACAAAAATCAATAATATGAATAAATTAACAAATAAATAAAATTGTTAATATATAAGATGCTAAATATTCATATTGAAAAATACCCAGTTTCAAAGTTCAAATCTTTTTGGCAAATTAAAGCTAGAAAGAGAAAGAGAAATCGAAATGGTGAAGCATACAGTGAGGGTTCTCCAGAAATCCAATTTTGGGAAAAGGGGTAACGAGGCGAGAGCAATGTGAAAACGACAAGGAGAGTGAGTGAAACGACAAAGATGGTGAATAAGGGTTTTACAGAGAAAACGACCATTTGATTTCAATTTGATGTATCTGTGATGGCGATGAAAATGGAAAGAGAACGGAAGGAATCGGTGATAGGTTGGTTCGTCGGTGTATTTATTTTATTTTTCAATTAAAATGCAACTCTTTTTCTTTTTTTTATGAATTCCTTTTTCTAGTTAGACTTTAATATTTTTGGTGAATTCAATTGTCATGGATTTGAATGAATTTTATAAGTTTAGTCATTTTTTTCTATTAACTATTTTAGGTGAATTGGGTTTCAAAGTAAGTTGTAAATGTTAAAGGAAATTGACCAAAATAAAAATGACTAGAATGATATAAGATTTTATTATTTGTATTATTTTATATTAAAATTGAGCATATTTTTTATTTCACATAAATTAAAAGTGAATAAAGTTGGTGAGAAGTGATGAAAAGAAATTGTTTTGAAATGTCCATAGGTTTAAGGATAGTAAAATTCAATTATGATGAGACTTAGTTCAAGAAAGAAGGTATCATGATGTGACGATTTAGGGTGTCCACATTTGTATTCGTACTCAATCCTCTCTTTCAAATGATTATTTGTTGTCATATTTAATCGAATAAACCCCGTACAAGGCATCAAATCACGTGGAGATAGTTTTAGTCGTTTATGCTATATAAAGCATCATACGGCCATTCCAAGTACATTATCTCATTGACATTATCAAACTACTTTCTTACTCATTCACTAACTTGGATATTTGAGTGTTAATCTTACATGTTCACTCATGTTCCTTCGTACTAGAGGCTCGTTCCACCGCATCAAAACTTCCTTTCATCTAATCTCCGACCTAGTTTTAGTTCCCAAACAAAACAATTGTATCGTATTTCATAATTGACATCTTATTCAGCTATTAAAGTCACCATAGATCTATCAACTCCAAGATCATCCTCCCTTGCTATTGTAGAAGGAGCACACACACCTGTATTTTTTTACCAATACAACATGGACGACATGATGGTCAAGTCCAACGAAGAAGGACTACACGACAAACACCTGGCAAGCGTATTTCAATGAGTTCGACAATACAATATGAGGTTCAATCCAGAAAAATCTATCTTCAGAGTTTGATATGGAAAATTCTTAGAGGCATAAAAGTGAAATAAACTCAGATAAGTGTGAAACGGACATCGTGATGAGAGCACCAACAACAAAGAATGAGGTAATGAAATTAAACTGAGTGCTCACACCCTTAAACGGAATTGTTCTGGACTGGGCCCGCCCTGGCCCAAAGCGCGGATAAAAGCCTAACCCAAGTAAACTCCTCGAGGAATACGCACCCGCGGATCGCCACCGACGTGCCCGACCACAGACTGTAGCCACGCCTGCCATTGCCCGCGCACATGGTGTCCCCGACCAAGGGAATTCCAGCTCGAGTCCTGCTCGAGCACTCTCCCCGTAGGGCAGATTCTGTCCTCTCTGACCGTTATCGAATCATCTAAACTCCGGAAAGACCGCGTCTTCGTCCCTCCTCATTCTTCGCAGAGCATCACCAGGAAGGGGGCCACGTGCGGGGCCCCACTACACACGTAGAACCTGACAGTTCCTTTATTGGGCCAGTTCTGGTCGGCCCAATGAGGGGACCTTGGCCCAGCACTGGGGGCTATAAATACCCTCTGTTCCTAGAGGGTCAGGTATTCATCTCTTATGCATCTATACACTTTTTGCCTACTCATTTTGTCACTCATTTTAGCATCGGAGTGTCTTGCAGGTACCCCCCTGTTGTACCCCAAAATTTGCCCTCTCATGTTTTCCAAAGTCTTCCCCTTGCATGGTTGACCAGAAACCCTTGCCTAAGGAAAAAGAAAATTTTTGAGTGGTGCTTTAAGTACCTTTCGATTGGCATTCTGAAAGACCTTTCGATTGGCATTCTGAAAGGCCCTTCGATTGGTGTTCTGAAGGAGCCTTTCGATTGGCATTATGGACAAGCATTTCGATTGGCATTCTGAAAGACCCTTCGATTGGCAATTCTGAAAGGCCATTCGATTGGTGTTCTGAAGGAGCCTTTCGATTGGCATTATGGACAAGCACTTCGATTGGAATTCTGAAAGACCCTTCGATTGGTATTCTGAAGGAGCCTTTCGATTGGCATTATGGACAAGCACTTCGATTGGAATTATGTCAAGGCAGTTTCGACAGGCATGTTAACCATGTCCTTCGATTAGCATGAACAGCACCTTTCGATTGGCCTGTTAACAAAGCCTTTCGATTGGAATCCTTCGATTGATATTTGGACAAGGGCCATTCGAAGAACTCCTTCCAGGCCATTTGGAAGAGGCCATCAAAGGATACTCAGAAAACATGTCCAGGTACACTGAACATGAGAAAATGGCATGTGTCCCTTGCAAATATAGAAATAATTAAATGTTGATTGTGGATTTAATTCCTGAGTTAAAGGCCAGATTCTTGCCTTTTCTGTTTCTAACTGCACAAAGAGCTGATTCGACCAGAGTGATTCTGTTTAACTCAAGACCATTCGAAGAAGCATTCAGAAGGCCCATTTGAAGGGTACATAAGAAGTCCATTCGAAGGAGGTAAATCAAGACCAATCGAAGAGCAGGGCCTGAAGGCATTCGAAAATCAAAAGCGTCCAGGTTCATTCCAGATTCAAGAGACACGAATATTTCAAAAAAGGAAATATTTTAATGTGTCTGATTCTTGTCTCATGGCTTTAATGGCCTATTTAATTGGCTGTCTCTTGCCGTTACTAGACCCCCACACTCCTATAAATACAAGGGCCAGTGGCACATTACAGAGGAGGAACAGGCCAGAAAAAACAGACAGAGACAAAACGAAAAAAGGAGAAAAAGAAACAGGGAGAATTTGGAGATACGCTGCCCACCACAGGTTGTCAACATTGTCAGAATTTTCCAAGCCAATGCAGTCCTTCAGATCGAAGGTGCCCACGCCCAGAAGCCCTCAGATTGAAAGTGTTCCCATCCCGCCAGTACCCAAATCGAAGATTCAATCTGCTGGTAAGAGAGGGTAAATTGTCAAAACTTTTCATTTGGCATAACACCTCCATATTTTCTATCCCATTCGATTTGCCATCCTAGACAGAATTCAAGGGATTGGGTTTGGCCCCAGGTCATGTTCTTCGTTTGCTAACATTTGCTGCAGATTTAGCCTGAAAAGACTCAGCGCACGCAGGATCGAAGGGCCTGGGGTTCGATACCAGGCCCTGAGTTTTATTTTGCTAACATACTTTTGCAGGTATAGCATCCCAGATCGAAGGAAACACCTTCTCTGGATCGAAGAAGGCATTTTTCCCAGGATCGAAGGGAAATCCCCTTCCCTGGATCGAAGGTTGTTCATGCCCACTTCCTGGCCCAATCGAAAGAACCATGACCCTGTTTGGATCGAAGCTTCCATTCCCTCCTTGGCTCTAAGCTCCTTTTTCCCCTGGATCGAAGGATCCCCCTTGTATTTTATTTTTGTTTTCATTGACATCTTTTTATCTTTTTAATTAACATTAAAATATTAAAAAATCACAAAAACATTAGGCTAGTTTTTTTTTCCTATTAAATTAACTTTGTTAATTAATCATTTAATTATTTTAACATTTTTCCAAAACTAAAATTAAGTAGATTTAGATCATTTTCCCAAAATAAAATAAAACAACAAAAATATTTTATTCTTAGGATTTTTAGAGGTTATTTTCGGATTCGCGCGCGTTTATTTTATTATAATTGTCTACTGGTTTGTAATAGCTTAACTAAGACTTTTACACTTTACTGCTTTATTCCCCCAATTTTGGACATGTAAATAATCCCCCTCCCCGAAGCCTTGTAATAGCGTAGGATTTACAATTCCCGCACTTTAAATTCCTGTACATATATTAACTATTTAGATGTATGCTAACTAGGCTATGCATGACAAGATTAACTCTTAACTTAAAATCAACAGTAGCTCACCATGACATGCAAAGATAATATAACTGAAAATTGACACACTTGCACATGCCACTCCTAGGGTACACCTCACTTGGTTGCCTCGAACGTGGTCATTAAGTATAGGATGTTTTAGAGGTCGTCCTTTTGTCCAAAGATCATAAGTTGCCTCGAAACAGTTGCCTCGGAAAAATGATCTAAGACATTAGGATTACCACTAAGGCGTCCTAACGTTGCTTTAGTGACCACACGTCCCTTAAATCGAATTGACCCGAAAACTCCAACGACGGTGCTACCTACTCTTCAATAGTGGGATAGCACTGTCTAAAGGACATTTGCACAGTTTAATTCCTTTTTGAGTAGGTGGAGGTTCTTAAGTACTTGCTCCTTTTAAAAAACAAAACAAAACTTTTCGCACTTACATTCTCTTCAAAACAACAAACTCTTTTCAAAACCCACAAACACAAAGAAAAGCAAACTTTTGAAAACACGGTGAGCAAGTACCTAAGAGCCCGTGAATAACCACGGATAGAAAGGGTGCTAACACCTTCCCTTTCTATAATCTACCTCCCGAACCCGAGAAACATCTCGAAAAGGAATTTTTCTGTGCTTTTGTCCTTTCCTTGTTGGATAAAATAAAAGACGGTGGCGACTCTTGCTTACCGCGACATTTTGCGAAAACAAATGCAAACGCGAACCAACATTCCAAAAACAGTCAGTTCTCATTCCCACCGATCACAGAACTGGCGACTCTGCTGGGGATTATCTAATAAGTGGGGTATACCTTAGGATTAGTTCATCATATTTGCTTCTATTGTTTTATTTGATTGCTTTATCTTTGTTCTATTGTTTGGGGTTGAAATCCTCCACCCGGATTTGGGAAACATTCATAGATAGCAATACATTGTGGAAACTGTGCGGGGTATACCGACACGGTTGAAGCAATAGCTATATTAGTGTGACATATTTGTGAGTATCGGTAGGCTTTGAGTCAATCAAAGAGAATACGGGGCCGCTGACTGATGTCAATAAGCACTAATGACCTAGAACCTTACTTGACCATCTTGGCCTTTTTTAGGGGTAGTGAGATGACCGACT